GATCAGGTATTCATGTTGTTTGAGTGACGTGAGGTAATTGTGAGTTCAGGTTTGTTCGCAGATTGGTTCGAAAAGTGGGAATATAATTTGTAGGAGATTCTGAGAGGAGTTCCTGAGGAAGTGGATGTGTCATCGCTGCCCATTGAAATGTTGACCTACGTAATTAAGGGCCACAATTTTAATGATATTTTTCTGAAAGGATGCTAATTCATCTCAAGAAAATGCCCAAGGATCACAAAATTTCAAAATCAAAAACAAAAATGAAGATCAACATAATATTCTTTGCACTATCTGAAGAACGTATTGATCAGGATTGCCACCTATCCGGATTTATCCAGAGAAGTTTCTTCATAAGTTGTTCTACGTTTTCTGTAGCTCTATTAATAGGGTTAATTGGAGAAAATGGAAGCGGTCTTTCACTTCTGGAAACCTCATTAACATTTTTGCCACACACAGATTTTAAGTCCACATTTCTATATAAGATAGATATACCTTTTTCTTGAAATCTGCCTACGATTTTAAAATAAAACAAGAACTAATTTAAAGAAATAAATCTTCTATGACATGCTTACGTTTACGAGACCCATCGCGGTAAATGTGAATCAGTATTACTTTCTTATTTATTGCAATTACCTTAACTAAAAGAAAATATACACATACTGCATACAAACCAAAACAAGACAAACAGATGAAGGGATCGATTTCTGATTGTTTCATCTGAATTTTTTAATAAATTCTTTGGCTTAAAATACGGGAGAAATGTTGAACAAAGTTGGGTACATGTGATTCCGTAGGTCAAATGTACAAAAGACAATCTGGCTTCTTTACGCATTGGAGCTCTGACAATCGGATTCGGCAATCCAACTACGTTCATTTTTTCTGAATTCAGTTATACAAGACTATTCCATCATAACCAGGCTGAAAACAACGTTTTAAAGAAGGTAATATTTGGGGTAACTTGGGAAGGTGAAAGTCGTTAAACGTTGCTCACGTGATTCTATAAATCATTACGTCTCCCTACATACTGTTACGTCTTGTAAACGTTTTATATTACCGGGTTCACTGACTATTCAGTTAAGGCAACTGATAAATAGTTTGGCCCAAGTACGTCGTCAGGCAAAATCGTTCGCGTCGGCAGATAAAGAGTGCTTACGAATTAAATTGCATTTCAGATAAGCTCTGCGCCAGAAATCTGAAGCATGTTTTGCGATGCTGTTGGTGTTTCATCTGCAATGCAAAAAATGCTTCATCTTTCCTAGTCACTCTGCAAATACTAGCACACCTTAAATCACCGTTAACAAATTGAAACAAGTGTGATTTATTTAGTCGAAAAACAAGAAAAAAACTGGGGAGATCATCTGCGCACGTTTTCTTGAGTTTCAGAATCCCTTTCTAACATTTTATCTATAAATTGATGAGATCCGTAAATGAGATCCGACGCCACCCGACCGTCGGGTAACGGGGATATCCCCAACCAGGTATCTCTCGCCAGCGTGGCAAGATCTAAGCTCCTGATATGTGTGGTAATGTAGTGCATGTAAGAGTGTTTGTACATAAGGGGCGAGGAAAGGACAAGGAAGAGGAAGGAAAGATCACGCGCGGTCCGTTTCGCATTGTTGAAGTACTGCTCTGACAGGAAATACTTCCTTTTTTGTGTCTTATGGTAAATCATTAAAATATTATCTAATTAAGTTGTTTTAACACATCAATAATTTAGTTATTAGAAGTTGTTACAATAAATGGAAATACGTTTTCATCAGTTTTGTATTTAATCTGTAAGATTACGAAGAAAATATTCAAAACTGATCTGTAGTATTTTGTAGAATACAATTAAATTGGCGCAGTAGTTTTTCGCCCAAGCGCCATCCAAAACGGTGGAGTGTGCTCGGCTGTCGTCAGAAATTTTCTGGCCTGTGCGTCCTTTCTTCACTTAATATTATTGCCCCCAATCTTATTGTAAGGTGCAGTCAGCATCGACAACTACCTCCGACTTTAATGATCATAAGTTTTAATACACAACACAAATAAAATGAATACACTTTTTTACTGAGCTATAATATTTTCACTTTTTGCATTTAAAAGGGAGGGTGTAGTCGCAAGCGTTATGTAATTATTTAGGGATGTTCAATTGCGTGTTACGGGTGTGTTACACGGGGGAAAGAGATATTCAAAATACTCCAAGTTTGCGATACATAATTTATTGACGGCCCCTAAGGCAGTCTTGCATTGAGAAGTCTCCCCATCATTCACTGTTTCCACGCATCTTGGAGACTTCAATTATCCAAGGCTCTCAGCAATTGTTAGAGCTCCCCAGCTCGAGAGCCAGATTTCTCTTTCATCGCTGGTTATTCCCTTGGCCGGTGGCTCAGGACATCAACTGATGCCACTGCAATTTCTCTGATGGAGAGGTCCTAGGATCGAGTCCCAACGACGGCAGGATTTTGACACTAGCTTTTCAACTAGGTCGAATTCAGTCGCTGTCTGGAGGAGAATTGGACAGGCCGGCTGCTCTGGTCGGTATAGTTTTCCGTGGTTTCTCCGATCAACACCAAGCGAATACCGGAGCAGAACTTTAACAAACGGGCCATGGACTGCGAGCGATCTTTCCTTGCTCTTCCTCGTCTTATCCTTACCCCCCCCCCCCACACACACACACGCCCGCACTTGCAGGCACTACATTATCCTAAATGGCCTTCCGGTCAGGAGCTTAGAGCTTGTGGTGGCTGTGGCGGAGCCCCGCTGGTGGTAGATACCTGGTTGGGGAAAACCGCTAGCCGTCGATAGGTCGGCGCCGGATCTCACCATCCAGCGGGGGAAGACCACCCCTCCTGAGCCAAACACATGCTTTACCCTAACGGGACTAATGACCTTAGCATGTGGAATCACTAACAACCAACCGTAAGTTCCCGCTGTGGCTCGGCCATCGCGCATCGGGGCTGCTCGGGCGAGGGGCCGCAGCATTTAGCGCAAGGACGCGGAAGGCCTTGGCCGTGCCACGGGGATGACGCCACCGCCCCAACGCAACGGCTGCGCCGATCGGCGCGCTGACCTGCCACGGGTCGCCGCGACCCCACGCGGCCGCCCTCTTCGCAGGGGAGGAGGGGGGAGGCAGCTTATCGGGCGCCCCCCGCGACGGAGATAGAGCGAGGTCGCGGTGGCGGCTGTCTCCAAGAGATTCGCCAGCTGTCGCTTCGCGCGGCCCCACTGGGGAGTCACGTGCGCCTGCGTTTGCGCGCGAGGCAGAAGGAGCTTCAAACACAGCGTGTAGTGCGATTTATTTAGTCGCATGTGCATCTGCAGCACGCTATACGTTCGTACGTGCTGCTTGAACGCACGACGTTCAAGCTCCCGATTGGATGAAACCATGAACAGCTGATTGATGTCAAGTGCATGGTTAAATAAATTCTAGTATAGTGTGCAGTATTTGCGACCTTCTTCGCATACGTTAAAAGTACACATATGTGAATCGAAAAATCCTGGATTCAAGTTGAAAATTCAGGAGTCAAGATAAAACATGCACTATACTTACGGGACTAACGAACTTCGTGGTTGACGCTCCCGGAATCACTAATCAATCAATGATACGCTTGCTCTGATTAATGAAAAGCTTTTCGTCATGAAAACACCCGCCAAATGAAAACACCCGCTGAATCAAATCGCAGAACGTAATATTTTTTCAAAATACAGTTCACAAGAGTTATAAACTCTGCATTTTAAACTCTTAATTAAAAATATATTAATTATTTAGATTGACACGGTAGAACCGTGTAATGTAGGTAGTTTGTGACGGGCGAATCCAGAAAATACTTTAAAAGGGTGTAGGGGGTCAGTTCATCCCTCTTAATGTTTTCGAAGCGATCATTTTTTAAATGTTACCTTGAACAAAACATATTTATATTCTTAGAGGGCATTCTCCTTTTTATGTGTTGCGATCACTCGGTAATTTCTTTTAAATAAATTGAGTAAAATTAGCAAAATACGTTAATTTCTGGCACGGGATCGTCCCCCTCTTGGATCTGGCGCTGGCTTACGACCAATACTTCCATGATGAACGTCGGCAAACGTCAATAGCGCAGTATTTCCTATCGCGGGGTACCGATCACGAGTGTCCACGTGATCGTTTTTTCGCTCTTCGATATTCAGTAAACATTCATCGAATTTTAATTGCTGTGACGAAGTCCGAAGAGATTTGAATGTCAGTTGCACGCATAATTTCGGTTTCAGACTAGAGCTTTAATTGTTGCTAGGATCTCCATAGCTCTCAAAAACTTACTCATTAGTATTTTCTTCAATGGACTGTGGTTTAAGTTAAAGATTTTTTCTAAAAATGCTCTAATGGAACCTCCTGACAAATTATTGAATTAATATTATAAATTATGTGGGTAGAGATCAATTAGTTATTTGTTAATAAATGATGTTGTAGTCTTAAAAATATTAATTTTTTCTATGTAATCTTCAGAAAAAAAATAATTTCAATAATACGTATTTTCGAATACTATTTGTGCGCATTATTTGCTGCGAATAGTTTTCAGGAGATTCAAGTTCATTGCTTATTCTCATTTTTCACCAGCATGTGAATTTGTTTCATATAGCCAAGGCATTGGCATGAAAGCATAATAAGCATGTCTTTGCTCACGACAAAATCCTATGACTAATTCACCAAATCTCGGTCTGGAATAATGTTTTGCCCAAATAACCATCCCAAGGCAGATATCATGAGTACACTGACAAGGCAATGCTTGTTTTCTATTTTTGGTAACTAGGACTGATAATTCTTCTGCTTTAACAGATAAACCCCTTCAACCGCAATTGAAATATGCTTTTGCTCGTTTAATTTGTCAAACGAAGAATATATCACGCGTTGTTATTCATTAAAGACATTACTCTGTTTGCAATAAAATGTTGCAATTTTTTAAACTATTTCAATGGAATGGAAAATATTAAAATGTACTCATGAAAATTATGATATCCTCCTTTTTATTGCATTTTTAAATTGTTCTGACCAATTGTTATTTAATATTAGATAACAGTTTATATGCATTTACTTCATTTGTATAAAGCCATCTGCCCAATTTTCCAAATGGTTTTCTTCTTTGTAGAGAAGATAAATCTCGGTAAAAGATCTTGCTTTGAGAGAATTCAAACAGTTCCCGCCAGAACCAAAATCAGGACAGCCAATTACATGACAGATGCAGTCTTGCAGAGGCACAGGTAGATGCAGTCCGGTGCACAGGTGTTTATTTTTAAGCATTTGATTTATCATGTTTCTCCATGCAGTCACTCAGACTCTAACAAGTAGGAGTAGGCGCACGCATTGGAACGATGAGTTGGGTCGACAGGTACGTAACATTAGGATGACCTTGACCGCTGATAAAGGTTGATTATCATCATTAAATTGTGACAATCATCTGAGGAAGTTGCAACCCTTTCTTGAACATTGTGGATGCTGTTAAAAGTTTGTCACTCGCATGGGATCTTGTCTTTGAGATATTAGAACTTGCACTATGTGCAGGTCAAAAGCGCCTGAACCCTACGACGTAAACTCGACTGATAAGAAATGGTATATGTAGCTCCGAAGTCAGTGTTGAAGCGATCAGTTCTGAGGGTAGTTGCGAGTGGTGTGTACCTCTTATAAACATATTTTTAATATTAGTGTTTTTGTGGAACTTTCAAGAAAGTTAATTTTTAAACGCTACCACAGAACTTGCTTCAACTCTGGATTTTATGTTATTCAAATTGGAAATATTTAATTTAATGATATTTTACAAGAACGAATTGAAAATGTCAGAGTGTTATTTACATCGTGTGAATCCAATATATTATTCTGATTACTCTGATACATAGACTTATACAGGACAAATGTATCTATCTTGTATCATCTAAATACTGAATAATTGGCTCGCTCCATTTTAAGCGTGCCAAGTGGTGGAGAAGATATCGCTTCAGTGTGGAAATTGTGGTCTTCATCCAGAGGAAACGAAGAACTAGATCCTCAGCTTAGTTTGGAAGGCCTTACACCCAAGAAAGAGTTGGATACTGATCAGATCAGCACAGAGAATAGGAGTGTTATCATGGAGATTGTGTCAAATGTAAGTATATATTTTCAGTTATATGAATAACCAATGTGAAATTGTACATGAATGTGATGTCCAACATTTTTCAAATTTCTCATAACCTATTGTTATTTCAGAATCCTATCCTGAAGTCATTTTTGGCTGGCTCACTTTCTGGTACATGCTCCACAGTAATGTTTCAACCACTTGATTTGGTAAAGACAAGATTGCAAAACCCTTCACCCGTTGCCATTGGGTAAGTTTCTTTACTTTTTCAAAGGAATGAGATAGCACTGCTCTTTCATTAGTATTGATAAGAAATAAAAGTTATAATTGTTTAACCTTTTCTCATTTAAAATTTAAAAAATTGCAGAACTGCTGCTTCTGGTGCCTCAACATATTCTACTGGAAGTATGATTTCAATTGTGGGTCGGATAGTTCAGAAGGAACACATATTTGGTTTGTGGAAGGGCATGACTCCTGTAAGTATCTGTTGTTAATTCACTAATAAAACAATGTACAAAGCAAAACTATTTAAAATCTTCCTATATTTTTTGACTTAATATTTATTTATTCTTCCAGTCCTTGACACGATGTATACCAGGAGTTGGACTATATTTTATGTCTGTTGATGTAATGAAATCACATTTGATTTCTAATGAACCGAGCCCTCTTCAGGCTGTTGCAATAGGAATGTCTGCTCGGACATTGAGTGGTGTCTGTCTCATACCAGTTACTGTTATAAAAACGAGATATGAGGTTAGTGAAGTTCTTTAGTTGCATTTTATATTTTTGTAAATATAAAATATATTTTAAGCAATATATTTTATAAATTGCACTGGCTTTTAAATTAAATTACTAATGACTAAAAAAACTAAATCTTAAATTTTTATGTTCAAGTCTGATAATTTGTCAATGATTTTTATTTTTATCAGAGTGGAGTGTACAATTATACTGGTGTAATAAATGCTTTTCGCATTATATATCGTACAGAAGGTCTAAGAGGTTTGAGTTGTGGATTGCTTCCAACTCTCGTGAGAGATGCACCATTTTCTGGTTTATACTTGATGTTTTATACTCAGACCAAGAAATTGACTACTGGTAAGCGTTGTTTTTTAAAATTCTAATTGAATGTATTTCATGATCATAAATAAAAGACAAAATCAACATTTTTTATTCTTCAATAAGCTGTAGAAATTGAGATCAAAATGACGTTTCAAAATAAATATAATTTTAATCTCAACTAATTTTTTTGTAGAGATGTATTGTTTACTGTAATTTAAAGTATAAATTTACTAAAAAACAAAAATACAGAAAATTAAATGTTGATAGCTATTTTATTTCAGATTGGCAAAAATCAAGTTTATCAGCACCTGCCAACTTTTGCTGTGGAATTGTTGCTGGAATAATGGCATCTATTGTTACTCAGCCTGCTGATGTTTTAAAAACCAAAATGCAGCTATTCCCTCAGAAATTTGATGGAATGCACAGTGTGGTTCTGTATGTGTACCAGGTAAGCCTTGCTAGATTCTATGATCCAAGAAGTATACTTCATTTAATTAAAAATCATGTTCCTTTTCAACCTAAAACAACCAGTTATAGAGAGTAGATTGTGGGTTTAAAACTATTTTATATAATTGAACAGAAGAAATGCAACCTTCTTAATTTTGAAGATTTGGTTTAAAACTTAGTTTAGTATAGGTCTACACGTGGGATTAGGTACTCCTGTTCTTAGAACTTCTTTCATGAATATTAAATTGTAGAGTATTGTCTGAATAATATTTCTGTCTACTTAACAGCTAGTGGGTATCGGGGGAGAAGGGATTCAGTTCTCCAATCAGAGACCTCAAATTATGATGTCACTGCAGTTACCAATACTAAGTAAGAAAAACATTAATTCTTAACTTTGCAAAGCAACTGCAAAATGGAAGAGTGCCATTGCTGCTTTGGTTACTCATTATGTGTGGGATTCTGTGTCATCTATAGTGTACTCTTATTGCCATTTGTTTCTTTGTACTGCTGCTATTGTTGTGAACCAAAGTGAGAACCTGAATAGCCTAGACAATAATGTGAAATGTCGCACGACCATGAGTCTGCTGCCTGAATAACTGGCAACTTCGCTTTACCTCACCCCAGCTGTCAAGTAGACAGAAATATTATTTGAGCAATAGAAGAACTGCTGTAACATTTCAGATATTGGGCATATCTGTGAACTTTTGTGATGTCTATGTTCATGTAGAAAAATTGTAATAATTAAATTCTTGGGTCAAATAAACAATTTTCAGCATGGAACTTGAGATTAAGTACTTTTTTTAGAATTGCTTCAAAATCAGTTAAAATTTTTAAAGGATAATCTTTCAGTTTTATGCCTATGATGTGAAACAAATTTCTTCTTATACTAGCACTCTTTTTTTCAACATAAAATGCATCACTCGTGTTCATGTTTTTAACATGTTGTTTCTGTAACATGTAACATGTAGTTTCTGATAATCCAACAAGTTGATTAGTTTTCTTTCTTCCTTTTTTATAATAACATAATGTATTTACAAGATAGAAGCTTTTATGTTCACAAAATATTTTTTTCTCCCCCAGAAATATGGAATTAAAGGATACTTCAAGGGTCTGGTTCCTAGGATGCTGAGGAGAACATTAATGGCAGCTATGGCATGGACAGTATACGAACAGGTACAAACAATTTTAGAGTAATTAAGATTTTAATTCTTCAAATTCAGGAACTAAGAATTGTTGAATAATAACTTGCCTATTTTAATGATTACTAATTGGCCAATACTAATGTTCAGTCACATTGTATGTAAAAAAAAAATTCTTATGGATTTTTTTATTTTTCACTCCAAAAGATCATTCCAAAAATAGCATATTTTAATATTATATTATTTAAATTAATCTTAGGCATTATATTCATTACATATAATCTTGAGTATACATTAAATAATGTATTTTTGTTTTGTTTTTACAGCTTACTCGGAGCATTGGACTAAAATAAAATAAATTAATAACTTCTGAATTGAAAATCTCATTGTGAAGATACTGGAGAAAATTTGCTGATGCAGTTCCTCCAGTAAAGCAAGATGCAAGTTATGTGCTTGGAAATAGCTAACAACTTGAGTTGCTGAATGAAATGATTGATCATCCTTCTTGCATTATTAAGTTGAGATGAGTCAATATACAGATGCCTGTTTCTGATGAGAAACCTGAGCACACTCTAACTTCTGTGCATATAAAATGGATGTCTCATATAAGAAAGGCAAATTGATTACATGAAGAAAAAATGAAAAGGTGGCAGGAGACAGTCAGTTTACCAAAGTAGATTACTCAAGTTCCTATTTTGCCTCTGAGATCTATAACTCAATAACTTTCATGTCTGCCAAGTTTGATCACTTCCCCATATGAGAACAATTTATCATGAAATTGTTGTCACTATGGGAAAGCATAAATTTCAATGTTCTTTCATTGTATAACATCTGTAATATTTAAAATAAATAATAGCTACTTGTGAATATGATTTAACTTTGATAAAATAATTTTTAAAAGTATGTATTGAATGTTGTTCTTAAACTTCTTGTAATGTAGGCATTAACTTCCATTGTTCCTCTGAAATTGTCTGTATTATATTGTTTTGTGACTACAGTGGCTTAGGAAATTTTTATTGACTTACTCAGCACAGAAAAATTATTTTGTTTTGCGTATGGTCGAGTAAAGTTGTTACACTTGTGTATTCATTTTAATAAATCTTGCCAATGTATTCTAATAAAATTATTTTAATTGCATTGAACAACATTCTTCTGTGTGTGTACGTGAAGAAAATGCTGTGATACTTTGTTACAGATATTTTTGATAATTATATATGACTGATGAAATAATAAACTTTGTTGATAACAAAAATGTATCTTGTTTTTGTTCATTCCTTAATTCCAGTGTAACAATGTGCTTTATGGATGCAATTGTCATCTACAGTCTTTTGTCATGTAACTTATACTTCTGAGTAGTGTTCTAAGACAAAGAGAGTAAACAGTTTTTGTGTGTATATATTGTGTTGTCATATATTAATACATTTCTGAGTGTATATATTTTTACTCCGATTTCTATCTATGTGCAAGCTGACAGAGAGGTAGAATAATTTTTTACAGTGTTTTCTTTGGCAGAATATAACTTACAGTGTTTTTGTCATTTTTACAGTTGATATCCTGGACAATTTTTCAGTATTTTTCGTCTTTTTATACACTTCAGAAGAAGATAGAAATGCGTACTATACCCTGTAACTGTTATGCTGGACGTAGTAGTAGTTCACTTCGTTGGGAAAATTGGAAGAAACCATTGACATTTCTTGCTGTGTTATTAGCTTTGTGTAAGTTCAATGACAAGAAAAAATTGTATATTTTTTAATGGAATGCAAAAAATGTTATTTGTAGGGAAAATTGTTGCAAGTTAATTTTTCAATATTTAAACAGCCTTTGCTTTATCCCAATTGTTTGGACGATTTGTACCATCTGATTCAACAAGCAATGTCAAAGCAGAAATGCGAGGACTGCATGCCAAAATAAACGAAATACATGTAAGTGGAAACTTTCTCAGATGGTATATTGAGTTCAATTTTGTGTTCTTAGAATGATATTTGAACATAAGAGAAGTCATGTTTCTAGTTCCTCGAACATAAGATGTAAAATAAAAATTAGTATTGTAATTTGTGGGCTTCCAAGTGCACTTGTGCATATTCCATTTAATGTCAGTTGTTGAGTTGAATTATTTTATGTCCTGATATGATATTTATAAATGTGAACAAAAATAACTGTAGCAGTCTTTTTGTGTAGTTCATTACAGATTGCAATGTCTTGCAATGAGAAGCCTTTGGGTGCTTAATGTCCAAATTTCGCAATGTCTGTTAGTGACTTAAACTGATATGGTAATTTCTATAAGATCTAAAGATATTACATGGATGGAAATGCTTTCTCCTAAAAATAAATATTATTGGACTGCCTTTTTCTATCTCACCATGAACAGTGTTTTTTCTTTATAGACAAACTTGAGGGACTGAGTATTTTCTTTTATTGTAATAATAATTTTTTATTGCTTATTAACATACATAAAGCATCCAGCAAAGTCAGTCTAGAAGTTAATTAAAATTACAGTAAGTTAATTTCATTAACTTTCTGTAATAATATAATAAGTTAACATTATCTTTCTAAATTACATGATAAAAATATATGTAGAGAGTTTTTGTTATATGGAGATACTTAGTAAGCAAACCAACTAATCACAAGTAAGATATATGTAACAAGGAGTTTTTCTTGTTTAAGAAGTAGAGAGATTTTATGTTATTTATGAAATCTCAGAAAATATCTCCCTTATCACTAAATATTTTTATTGAGAAAGGACTTAATTTCTTTTCATATTAAATATCAACTCTTAGAAATTTCTAGTGGCCAATTCTTTAGCAAAATTAACTTAAATTACTTATACATTTTCAATTTAACAGGAACATCTTGATAATCTTGAAAACTTACAAGTGGAAATGGGTAGAAAGCTAAAAGATCAATGTCTTGGAAATGACACAAAAAGAGACAAGAAATCAGAAATGCAATGCAGAGAAGGTGTGTAGTTGCACTTGTCTCTGAAATTATTCATTTGGCAATTTATAAAGAGTTTTGTGATCTTTGTAGACTTAAAAAAAGCCAAGTCTTGTTCAACATTAATTGAAGAAAAAGTTCAACAAGCAATTGCTACTTATGATGCTGATGATATTGGGTTAGCAGACTTTGCCCTAGAAAGTGCAGGTACCTTGAATTAGTTGATCTAATATTATTTACTAGATGAAGTCCAATATTAATGTTTCTTGAATACAACCAGTAATTTGTATTGATTATTGTCAAATAGGGCTGCAACAAATGCATAAGTCAGTTCATTAAAACCATTAATGCTTTAAATAAGTATTGAATTGTGAAGAATTTTTATTATTTTGGTGTAAAAAATGTGATAGTTTGTCCAAATGTATTTTAAAAAATATGACATAACGAATATAGCATCACATGTTTTATTTTTTGTTAATTTACTTTTTCCACATTTTTTCCTTCCAAAATAGTAATTTTATTTTCCTTACCGATTTATGTAACAAAATACAAATATTACAATGAATTTTCTAATTTACAAAATTATTTTACAAAATTAACAATTAATTTAAAAAATTTATATATTTACTTTTAATAATATTTCATATTGAAATTTGAATCAAACGTTGAAGTAGAAATGTTCTTGTATCCACTTTCTCTGCCAAGAACATATTATTCCAGAAAAAAACATTGCATTTAGTTTTTCAGTTACTCTATGTTGTTGTCAATATCTACAACTCTAAAACTTTGATTTTAATTAATTGAGTTGTAATTAAAAATATAACCAAGTGTAGAAAATCTTATCTCAAGAAAATGAAGCAACAAAGTAACTATTACATAATGAAGACATCTTCGTGTCCAAGTTTCTGCTAGAAGGATAAAATGCAAACTGAAGACAAAATTTTGTTCACGTACTGTTTCTGGTTTTTTATCTCCTTGTATACATACATATATATGGAGTATGTATGTAGTGTAGAGAAAGTTTTGCAATGCTGCAGAAAATTGATTTAGAAATCTCAAAGAAAATATGTTTTGGGGTCACCTGGTACTGAAATATTGTAGTTTTTTTTTAATTTCCCATGTACATACGTATATAAGGAGTAATGTATGTAGTACTTGTAGGGAAAACATTCTTTATAATTTAGGGGTACTTAACATAAAGCCCCTGGAACATTTTCAAAATTTTCTCAAAAACAGCTTCAAACTTTTTCTTTAAATTTCTTGTATGAATGTAGTAAAATACACTTATAAAGGTGACATAGGTCCAATTTTCATCATTATCTCTCAATTTTTGTAAATTGCAAAGTTTGAATTTTTCCCGCTTCTTCCTACAACTACAAAATTGAAGATAAAGTTTTTCCCTTCAGATAAAACTTCTCCATAATTAGTTCTTTCATTATGCTCATGTACACTTTTTTTTTTTTTAGTAGTTATCGATCAATATTTCATGTAATATTTACAATTTTTTGTAATTACAAAATCAAGGTTTTCTCAATTTTTTGCTTTGAAACTTTTGGTAGGGATAGTGCTAAATGAACTCTATGAGATGACAAAAACCCTCAATATATTACTCTATTCTTTTTTTCCAAAATTCACAAAAATGTAATTTTTTTAACTTGTCTCTCACGTCGTTAATTAGCGACAGTTTGTTTACATTAATGTATTTATGAGTACACATGCTTTAAATAATGTGAAAGAAAGTTTCCCGAAAACTCAACAGTGTTCTGTGAAAACTTGTTCAAAATTCCGCATTTTCAGAAACTCTCACACACCGTTTTCTGAACTAGTGGTGCTACATAAGCACGTACTTTCTCGCAATATTACTATGTTATCGTTATGTACGACGGTATGTCCATAATGCTTCATTAATTTCAATCAGAATTTACGTAAAAACTGCTAACTTTTACAAAAAAATTGTACATGACTTTTTTAAAAAGCTAAATTAGTACAACAGATTTTGTCTCGTGCAAAGATCTGTGTTCAATTTTATAGTTTTTATTTTCTCCCCCTCTTCTCTATGTGTGTGTGTGTGCGTGCGTGCGCGTGTGCGTGGGTGTGTGTGTAAACACATGCAATACTTGATAATGGAGTTAACATAATATCTTTTACCGTTCCTTATTACATATGTGGAGGAAATTTAAAGAAACAATTGTAAGCACATATTACCCAAAACTCGTTTTTTGTTGTTTTTTTTTTTCTTCAAAAAATTGTAATAATGTTTTTTAAAGAGCTAATTGTGTACAACATTTTTGTATGAGGCAAAAATCTATCTTCAATTTATAGCTTTAATTATTTTTGTTGTTGCAATTTTCGAAAACTCGGGGATATCAACGAAAATGTGATCTACACCACTCTCTTAAACGCCATTCTCCGTATTCAACAACATTATTTAAATACAAATTTTGTAGCCATTTTTTTTTAAAAAATTGAAAATTTCCTAGGGAGGCTTCATGTAAAGTACCCCCTAAATTAAAATATGGGTTTCAAAATCCAGGGGCCACGAACGATCCAGCGAGAACGATTGGAAAATATCAACTTTGGAGTAAATCGGATGAAAGGTTTATGTCGTCGCGTTGCGCACAGACGGACAGCCAGACGTTTTGCCATCAGTCGATTTTTCTGTATGAAGGACGCACAAAATATGGATCCTGGCTACACCAGGGGTTAAAGGATTTTTTTCTACCATGAGCAACTGGATTTATCCATTTTTCGTTTCCAGGGCCCGGCAATAAGAGTTTGTGTCGAATATTCGCCGTTTTCAATACTTCTATGTTAGAAAGTGCGAGAAAGTAAAAATGGATCCAAAATTTTTCTTCAAACTTCTGCAAAGGGTAGTGCTAAGGGCACTGTTAAAAATGACAAATTCATTTTGGGATACTCTTTTGTTTTTCTTTTTTTTTATTTTTTCAAATATTATTCCAATGTATTTGTTTAATATCTCTCACGCCGTCAATATGCACATTTTCAGCGATTTGTAAGTTCCCCAAAATTACTTTAAATGAAGTTTTTCGAAAACTCAAAAATTGTCTGTGAAAACAAAGTTCAAATTTCGCATTCACAGCAAACAATTACACGCCATTTTATTAAATGTATCACCAAAATTTTCAGTAAAAATTGCCATTTATGACGAGGTTATACTCTTCTTTAATATTATTAAAGTAATATTTCGGTTTTACTATTAGTAACCCGAAAAATTGAGAAAATGTCAAAAAATGTACTTTGGGCAGTGATAATTGGCATGTGGCATGAGGATGGGGCAAAACTGTTAAACCAGTTCACACCAACGAAAT